CGCGGGGGGGCTGGAGCCTATCCCTGCCGACTTAGGGCGAAGGCAGGGGACACCCTGGACAGGTCGCCAGTCCATCGCAGGGCCACACTTAGAGACAGAGAAGCCAGAGACAGACACTCACATTCACACCTACGGAGAATTTAGAATCACCAATTAACCTCAACATGTTTTTTGGACTGTGTGGGAGGAAGCCGGAGAACCCGGAGAGAACCCACGCTGCACGGGGAGAACATGCGAACTCCACGCAGAAAGATTCCGGTGCCCCCACCGGGACGTGAACCGGCAACCTTCTTGCTGCGAGGCAACAGTGCTACCAACTGCGCCACCTTGCAGCCCAGGATTGGACACCCCTAATATAAGTAGTCCCAGGCAAAAAAAATTTGAGACCTTTATTTCAGATTAGAGAAAACAAAAACCTCAGAATAAAATACATTTAAGAAGTGCAAACAGAGCTGAATAACCCTTTTATGTCTTAAAATAAAGATGTCCCAGCCTAAAGAACTGAAGGCTTCCACTTCAATTAAAAAAGTCAACATCCTCAGAAAACAATATATAAAAGGTTTCGTTTGCATGTTGCTGGGTTGTAAATGTGCGTGATGAGTCAGTTAGATCTGTCATACTGGGCTTGCAGCTTGGTTTTTTTTGTGTGCCCTCAGCTCGGACTTCAGGGGATAACTTTGCTCAAAAGAGCTGTGCTTTGTTTCATAGTAGTGCTTCACGTTGCTACTTTTAATTAATGCCACGTTTTCGGAGCATATGAGGCACAGTGCAGAAACCAACGGGTGACATCACGGTAGCTACGTCCATCTTTTATACAGTCTATGCCAGGACCTAAAAAGGTTTGCCACGTTCAACGAATGGCGGCGTGCATGGACGCAGCGACCCCTTCAGGAGACAGCGAGAGTGAACGTTTAGTGCCTTATTTCACACGTGCATTCCGCAAAACTTAAATGATCCTGAAGAAACACTCTCTCATCTTGCCTGTACTACTGTGTATGTACAGCAAAATGACAATAAACTTGATTTGATCTGATTAAATGTGAATATTTTCTGATTTCTTTCCTCCTCTGTGACAGTGAACTGAATATCCTTGGGTCGCAGGCAAAACAAGACATTTGAGGATGTCAACTTGGGGTTTTTTTTTGGGACATTTTATAGACCAAAGAAGGATAATCATTAGGTGCAGCCCTACATCCCACTGTGTCCATGTAGCCTTTGCTTTCTTTCTTTTGGCTGCAGGATCTGGGTCAGTCTTGCATTGTTCAGCACTTTTTTTGTTTCCAGAGCTCTTCAAAGTAGGTTTCATCCCCACAGTCTTTATGTCTGTACTAGAGCTTCCACTGAGTCCACAGCTAAACCTAAATCACATACTGAAACCAACAGAAACATGTGCAGACAGGTTCTTTATTTACATAAAGGAACAGAGGCATTTTTATTCTATCTTGCTACCAAATCAGAGTGAACATTAGTGGTTGGGGTGGTTGTGTTTGTTTAGTGGATGTAACTCTAGTTCTATACATGTTTATCCTTCTAGTAGGCTTCACTGTTGGTTGCCTTTGCCCCATTCAGTGACACGAAACATAAAAATGCAAAGAGGTCACTTGCGGTTCAGTGCGGCCGACAGATTTCCGACTGAGCATAATGAGATGATCGTCTCCACCACATCCACTTGTCATTATTCCTGCTCTTCCCTTTGTCTCGTTTGTTAGACAGCTGAGGTGAACGCGAGGTTGATGTATGGGTCTTTTGCTGCTCAGCGCCACATTATCCGCTTTTGAAAAATGTGTTCTAACTGTTCACTCCCAAGGTCGCGGCCTCAGGACACAAACATAGGATACGTGTGGCTCGGGGCTGAGCTGTATGTGTTTGTTCTGTATGGCCCAGATCTGTTCCCACTAAACCAGCACTCTGGACTCAGCATGTCACATTCCATGAGCCACAGCGGATCCTCTCACTCAGATATCAGCTGTACATCAGCGCTGTAGCTCTACACAGATGATGGAAAGACCTGGGAATGTATGGAGGCAAAGGGAGGCTGACTGTGTAAAAGAATTTTGATCAAAAAAGCAACACATTTAGAAAAAAAACAAAAAAGAAAACCATTAACAATAGACCACGAAAAAAATCATTGCTCATAAAGAATTGTCATTTTTAAAAAAACTTTTAAAAAAATCCAGAAAACAAAACGTGAAAATGCAGCATCCCTGCTGCCAGAAAAAAACTTGTGGAATACCATAATGTCCAAAAACATTGAAAATATCTGCTAATGTCTGAAATATAATTAAATATTTTTAGCTGATTTTAAAGCAATAAAATAGAATTTTCTCGCCACACATTATTAACAAATACATTTTTTAAAAAAAGTGTTAATATGTTAATGAATATTTAAATTTATTTATTTTGATCTTTTTCTGTTATTTTACTAAATATTTTCTGCAAAGGCCTGCAAGGTGGTGCAGTTGGTACCACTGTTGCCTTGCAGCAAGAAGGTCGCCGGTTTGCGTCCCGGTGGGGGCACCGGGATCTTTCTGCGTGGAGTTTGTATGTTCTCCCTGTGCACAGTGGGTTCTCAGAATCAGATTCAGAATCACCTTTAATGGCCAAGTACGTACACAACATACAAGGAATTTGGTTACGGCTGTTGGTGTCGCCCTAGGAATGAGCAGGAGTAATAGAAATAGGAAAATACAAAAATAAAGTAAAATAACTATAGAAAAAAAAATACAATAAATAATAATAATTAATAAAACAAGATAATACGACCTCGGGTTGGGGCCCGTATGCAAGCGCCTGGTGGTCGGGCCTTCGCCCTCCTGTGGACCCAACACCTGCAGAG